ATTCAGATGCCTCCATGACGGCCTTCTGCCTCATTGCCATGCAGGAGTCACGCACACTATGTGCAGCCACTGTTAATGTGAGTAAGCCTGTACCTGTATGCCACTGTTTTCTCTTGTTCCCAAACTTCTGTTATTTCTTCTTATCGCAAAGCGAGGCACCAAAACATCTTGCAGCATTTCAATGTGGCCTGAGCTGTTGTGCCACGGTCAAATCCAGAGAAATTCTTGAACAGAAGGGGATATTTCAAATAGATGCATTACTGTTATTTGACTCATTTGACAGCCTTTTATATTCATACTGAAATCTCTGCTATCTCTCCGTTCTCACCTTATTCTCCCCTCTCCTTCCTTTCCTCTCCCTTTGTCCAGAGTCTTCAAGGCAGTATTGACAAAGCAGTGGCCTACCTGGAGAAGCGTTTGCCCAGCCTCACCAACCCATATGCCGTTACCATGTCGTCATATGCCCTGGCCAATGAAAAAAAACTGGACCGAGAAATCCTAAACAAGTTTGCTGCCCCAGGTATCGTCACAAGGCAATATGCTTAAACTCATATTCATAAACATACAAATTACACATTCATGAAAAATTACTATCAAATATATGTTTGAGGTAATTATTAACATTTATGTAGACTGTCCCCCAGAAATGACAATGTAAATTGGCAACCAGTTTTGATCAACTAAATGAAAGGGATCTTGAGTATGTTAAATGTTAAATCCAATTATCAGATTTTTTAATCTCTAAATCATCAATATCTGTATTGGCCTTAAAAGTCCTTATCTGTCAGGCTCTCACATGCATAACCCTGTATGTGAATTTACACTTAAAAGGACCAAATGACCTTAAAAGGACAGAAATTCTTAAAAGTGAGCACATTTTCCATTCTTTTTTTCTAAATTTCTATGACATTATTTTTCTTTTAAGATTAGGGAATGGGTAATTATTTGTGAAATAACATTATTCCAGGTAGAGCAGAGGAACAAAAACAAATTTGTGTGTGTCTTCCCCAGAATTATCCCACTGGCAGACACCTAAGGGACGCATTTACACACTGGAGGCCACAGCTTACGCTCTTCTCGCTCTCGACAAGGCCAAGGTGAGCATGTCCCACTGGTGTGTGTTTGACCAGCATGTGATGTTACAGAAGACATACAGCAGAGTCCTTATCCACACTGCCTCACTAAAAGGGTTCAGAAACAAAAGTCAGTACAACGTGTCTGACAGTGACTTTACTACCTCAAAATGTGTTTATGTATAAACACATATATTTTTTCAGTTGTTTGTTTGGCTCTTTTTAACATAACTGACCTTTGAAACGACTGCTTTCCACTTTACAGAGCTCTCTTTGATTATATATAGATTTTCAAAGGCATTTTTCTGTACCTATTGCTATGACTTGATTATTACGTTACTTGTGACCCAGTTATATCAGGGTCTCTACAGGTTAAGTCAGGTTAGATTTAAGACTTTTAAAGACTTTTTAATGCCATTCTGAATTAAACTGAAGACCTCAACAGAATTGGGATGTGGCGTTTGCAGTCAGGTTTTCTTGGCGATTTTTGTTCCTCATTCTGCATGTGAACATCCACTGCCTTGACAGAGTCTGAAAAA